CAGCTAATCCAAGTATAACAAAAATTGAATCAGTGGTTCACCTAATTTCTTGGGGAACACAACCGCTAGTTGTGTTCTCACTTACACAGTTTCGATTTTTCTGGACCTGGTCTTCACCAGAGAGATTTGGCACTGTTCAATAACTGCTTGTCCTTATTTTATTGAATTTCTTACTCCACATCTCAGGTCACAGGACAGCTTTAATGCTTGTTTGGGGTGAAAGAAATAAAGAATTTATCGAAAATGTCATTAATTCGAAGCTGAATAAATTTTTAGGCGATATGTTGATTTGGCTCGGCCCGAAACAACATTTCGAAATTACATGTCAAATGTGTGGAGCAAACCAAAAGCGCTCGCCAGATCTGCTTCATACACCAACCTTACTTATATTAAGGTTTGGCTCACTGCTGAATGAATACAAAATACTTATTGTTAGGTAGCTCTATAAAATATATTTTTCTGGTGTTATGTGAGTACTTGAGACTGAACAGTGATGGAGCTGCCTGCCCCAGAGATAACAACGAAGAGCAGAATCGACTAAGTTTGCAGAAGCTTTGCGCATGATAAGTGGCCCTGATGTTTAAGCTCAAAAAGTCAGAAGCCAAAATCCCATCGTGAGCGCACTCTGTGAGAAGTGAAAGTACTTTGGACCCAACATAATCACTGGAAAACGAATGTGATTGGAAGTATCAGTCTATCCGAAACATACTAAATATTGACGGTTTTAGCTTGAAGGAAGTTAACATTTACGCCCAGTTTGATTTGAAAGTGAATATTCATTCATTACAATATCAGCCGGAACGTTGAAGCTGTGCCGGTTTCCACAGTTTTCACAGCACCACCAATATTTTTCAACGTTTAGAACCAGTCGTCCGTGCCCACCTCTTTAACACCACTGAGTGGAAAGCAGTGACTTACAGCAAAGTGCCATCGTTACTGGCAGAAACAGAACAGCAAATATTGGTTCGTGGAGTCATAAGAGATGCTTCAAGCGCACCATTTTGGCATTACTGTAATCAAACTATGTCAAATGAGTAACATGCAGGTTGTGAACACTCAAAAAAGTAAAATTCAATGGAAGTATCAGAAATTATTTACACCACTAAGTAACATTTTTGTTACGAATTTATTTTGGGATTTCACCGACTTGAACTTAGGAATATTTTTGACCTAAACCTAGCAAATCCTGATGCTTGTATTGTGGCTAACACGAAGTCATCGTTGAAAGCCAGTTTTTTTTTTCAACAGAAATTTTCTTATCAAATTCACTATTGCAGTTTAGCTACCACTATGCTGTAGAAGAATTTTACATTTGGAAATTCCCGAGACACTATATTTAAGGAGGCAGAGCACGATTTTCCGATTCGTCGCTCGACATCCGTGTCTTCGCTCGCGCCATCCTTAGCGCTTCCGCAGCACTATCGACAGCCAGAACGGATCGTACACACTTTACCTGTTTATAAGCCACAGATTCATAACTGGTACAACAACGCCTACAGCAAGGCAAAATGGATTGTTCGTATTTTTTTTTTTGTAGTATTTTTATGCATTACTCCGCATTATGTACACCTCCAATAAATTAGTGATTCCCTCTCGCGAGCTGACGTAATCTTGCATTTTTTTTTTTGTATGCAATTGTGAAAAACCCAAAAGAACTGGAAATTGTTCCTCGCACAGCTAATGGCATGTTAAAGCTTGAAAAAACGTCTCATAAATTTGTGATAGTTATCCATCCTGCCTTTTATTTCTGCTATCTAAGGTCCATGGAAAAAGAGAAGTGGTTTTTTCTAAACGAAAAATAGTGAGCAATTTTCTTTTGGAAATAAAAAAAAAATTGCTCGTTATTTTTCGTTTGTTTTCTTCGGAAAGAGGAAAAAAGTACTCATCCACTCGGTGTTTGTTTTTCTCTTTATTTTACCCACGTCTCTTCCTTCCCTCTTCCGCCCTACTCTCGCGCTACGTCTTCCCTCTTCTCGTCTCCCTCCAATTTCCTCCCTCCTCCCTCGCCCCCCCCCCCCCCCCCCCCCCCCCCCCCCCCCCCCCCCCCCCCCCCCCCCCCCC